CCTGCCTACTGCTGCCGCCGCTGTTGCTGCTCTGCTGCTGCTGCTACTGCTCGCGCTGCTGGCTGCCTCGCGTGTTACTATGTCTGCTGTCGGTACTGCTGCTGCTTTGCTGCATGCTGCTGCTGCTGCTGCCACATGCTGCTGCATACTACTGCTGGTTGTTGCCTGCGATTACAGGTGTTCAGCTGTGGTCGCACGCGGGTCTACACGTACAGCCTGGGTGTTCCCCCGCCCATAGCAACGCTGGCTTTCTTAACTCACCTCCGGCAGCACCACCGTAAGATCCTCCGCACCTGCCCTAGCACCGTCGCAATTACTGCAGACTAGACATTTCACTTTTCATTCGGATCAGTCTCCCGAAGAAAAAACCGCGGAGAGACGGAGCGATTCAGCCGCTTAACCGGTACCCGAGGTGTTTACAGGCCCTGACGCGGTACACGGGCCATAGAAAGAGAGATACCAACTCATTAACTGTGGTCGTTCTCGTCCTTAGTAAGCTTTATGAAAAGCATTCACGCGTTGTTACTGAACGCTGCCCACTGGAGACGCATCTCAGCGCGTCGTTTCCGGAGCGAGTACTCAAGTGATGGAGAGCTCTAGAGCAGGAAAGACGACGTGCGGGCAGGGAGAGAAGAGAGCAGAGGAAACGAGGAGAGCACATCAGAGAGAGAGAGAAGGGCGGAGGGAAGAACCATTCAAGAGCGAGGGGGAGAGGGAGAGAGCAGGAAAGATCTGAGAAAGAGAGAGAGAGGAAAACGACGAGAAAAAGAGAGAGAGAGAGGAGAGGGGAGGGAGAGAATGAGTAAGAGCGAGGAGTGAGAGCGTAGAGGAGGGAAACGCACGAGAGAAAGGCACACGAAGAGAAGAGAGAGAGAAGCGGGGAGGAGAGAAAGCAAGAGAGCGAGGACGGAAGAGAGCGGAGAGAGACAAGAACGAGGAGAGAATAACGCTCATGAAGGAGAGGGGAGCGAGGGACCGTACGAGCAAGAGACGAGCAGGAGGTGAGCAGGAAGAAAGATGAATGGGAACGAAGAGAGAAACGAGTAGATGAGAGAGACAAGAAGTGAGGAGATGGGGGGAGGGAGAGAAAGACGAGTGCCGGGGAGAGAGGAGGGAGAGAAGGGAACCGAGAGAGAACAGGGATACAGAGAGAGAAAGAGAGTTCTTTTTTTATGTAAGAAGGATATTCGTGTTGTTATTTCTTGCACCGATCGGTCATTAGCCTGGGTTAATTCAATTATACCACTATCACGTGACTGAACGACGCATCAACCGCGAACGTTCGTCGGAAAGTGCTTTAGTATGGTTAAACTGGTATCGCTACACTTCTCAGAGTGCCCTCTCTTTCCTGCGCGTAGCTATCCTTTATTCTCTCCTTTCGCTTCTCCTCCTCTCTCTCTGTTCTCTCTCTCTCTCCTCTCTCTCTTCTCACACACACACCACACACACACCCACCACACACACAGACGGCAGCACGGTCACCGCACGCTACGCGACGCACGCACCACAACACACACCTACATACAGTCGCGCGCACGCACACACGCACGCCACGCACGCCACGCTTACGCCGACGACGCGGCACACACACACACACACCACCACAAACACCTGAGTTCTGCTACGCACTCTGACAGTAAATAAATCTTGATCTCATCAATCAATACGAATCGTAGGACTAACCATTCGAATTTCTGTATCCACGCCTAGTTCAAACAGTCGCGATTACCTAAATGTGAGATATATGTACAACCGACTACAACATATACAAAACATAGTGACTTCAGTTATATATAATTCTCGTCATTTAATATACTCATGGTCTCGGTTTTGGCATACTAAATGTTTCGTCGGGATTCGCACTACAAGGTTTAGCGGAACCGGTGAACACAAGATTATTCCCTACATCATCATTCACATCTTGGGGGACACGTCGGCTAACGAATAACGAGTATTCTTGCATGAGCGCCAAGATTTCCACACCACGGCCCACATAGTGCCGTGAAGAAGGCCATACTCTTTTACTAAACTCGATTAATTCTCACTTATAATCATAATATTCGTGCCTTGTGATTTATTGTGCGAATACTTGACGTACGTCACTATAAGCGCATCGATTTAACCAATTTCTGGGTTCCCCATTACCAATTACACCTAGCGATTCTTACACATTGCCCACTAGTACACTTCGTTAGAATGCTGACGAAAAATATTGATAATATTCAAACCATTAATAACCGAGCTACAATTTTTCTTCATTCATCCTCACACTATCTTTAAAATGAGCATATAGTGTTCCTAGAAGAAGTACATTGTATTTTTTTTCTGGCTCCAAATAACTCATTTACACCAAAGCCCATTGTCAACAGACTTTCTTTAAAAAAAAGGCTTGCTTTCGCGTTGCTATACGTTAATATTTACAATAGCGGCAGCTGGGCGACGACACGAGTACACCGTTTTCCAGCTCAGGTCTGCGATAACAACAGATGACAGATTCCATAACACGACAGTTCATCAACTAGTAAGTGTCGGTGCTGTGAGCTTTGTTGCCTTAGTCTTAGCCACGGACTATCCACCTGCAAAACAAAATCGCAGGGCGATAACAGCAATGCTAACGGTAAACCGGCAAGCGCCGGCGGTGCGGACGCTCTCACCAAGCGGACAACACACGAATTATGCTTTCTACAATACTTCTTTTTAGCAGACGTTTGCCTGTAACTGTCACGTTAAGAAGACATAGCTTTAACGGCGCTTTTTTTTTTTACACATACATGACCCTTTACGATCTGCTTACGCCGGCTCGCTATGACGATTGGTGATCAAGCTTACACCCAATGTCTTATATGAATGTTATAAGTGACTTATGAACCACGATTCGCGTCGCCGGGGAAAATATACAGAATACCATATGACGAATTGGGCATATCACTCCCACTTGTCCATCTTTTCTCTTGTTCTCCGTCTGGAAAATGTATTCTTCTCTCCTTACACTGAAGCTTTGAGACGTAAATGGGCTTTTGTCGATGTTGTTCGGATTTTATACGATGGGGTCGACACTGCCATCCGAGCCAGTGGCATGGACGTACTGTGAGGCAGTCGCCTACAAGCGACAGTAAGCGATGGACCAAGCCTCCACGTGTCCCATTTGGCCAACACATCACGTGATCCGTAGAATCCGGTCAGCGATCGGAGGAACGACGTGAGAATAAACTGTCCGATGACCAATTACGAAGTTTGGGGAACGAAAACGCATTTGGGCAGATCGCATCGATCGAGGATGGACGTATAGTCAGGGAAACTCTCGTGCGACAATTCATCGCTCCAACTAACTCGATGTCATACTTAAATATACCTACTACGATACTAAACAGCCACTCGCCCAACTTAGTGGATTTCCCATTCTATTTCGATGTGATCCCAGTCCCAGTAATACCGATCGAAATAGTATGTGAATCTCCACTTAATTATTTCAGCATGCTCAGGTCATAGCCACAGTCATACCTGTCGCATGAATAGGATGGGAAATTCCCACTTAAATTTCAGACTGTAGCTCGTCAACGTAATACACACGAATCGAGCATAGGGTGAGCGCATTCATCTTACAATTTTCCGATGTAGGCACGTCACCAGTAATACCGATCCGTCTCAGCGATCAGGGTGGGAAATTCCACTTTAATTGTCAGTGTAGTCAGTCCAATCAGTAATACCGATTTCGAGAATAGGTCGGGGAAAATTCCACTTAACTTTGCTGCGCCCGACTCCAGTGAGCTCCTAGAAACACGCGCGGTAGGCCCACAATGTGTGTCTCAAGACGTCTATTCTATATTACATCATTGTCATTTACTTAGCAGGAATACACAAAAAACACCCCCCCCACACACACCACACTACCCACACACACACACCACACACACGCGCGCCATTGCTCACTCTACACACAGCACACCGCACACAGAACACACACACATACACCACACACACAACCCACACGACACAAACACCCCCCCCACACACACGAACCCCACACCCACAGCGCGCACGCTCACACCCACACACACACGCGCTTCGCACGGCGACACAGCACACACACACACACCACACACAATACAGAACACACACATACACATACACATACACCACACACACACCCACACAACACACACACACACACACACACACACGACGCACGCTCACCACACCACCCACACACCACACCCCACACACACACGCCCACAACCTACCCACACGCAGCGACACGCTTCAACACACACACACACACCACAAACCACGCACACACCCACACACACGCGGGCACGTCACTCGCACACACACACACACGCACGCCCGCACGCACGCACACACGCACGCACACATCACGTTACTCAGAAATATCGGCATCTAATCAAAACATCGTATAATATATAATATATCACGTGAATTATATCTATACTGTGCACGCCGGATGGCAGAGTTATTGGTAAACACATGGGCCGAGGGCAATCTCTCTTCATCTCATGCGTCATCAAGTCATCGCGAAGTTTAAAATGAATCAGAGCGCGCATCGTAACTACAAAAATCCAAACACAACTCGTCCGGTTCCCCATCAATAAGCACTTTTCAATACCATCAACAGTCATTTTGCAAAAGCTAAAGATAGTGACAGATACAATTTAAGCATCAGTAGCAACACATCGATCGGTCCGGTAACTTGGTCGGTTAGAAAGGGAGCAGGGTAGTATATTGTATTTAGTAAGCTTGACCTGGTCGGTGGCTAGACGAGGATGAGGTAGCTATATTGTATTTCAGTTAAGCCGACCTGGATCGTGTGGTTAGAGACGAGAGCAGGATGAGCGGCGCGGATAATATTGTATTTAGTAGGCTGACCTGGTCCGACACGTAACCGTTGAAGGTGATAGAGTACCCGTCGCTATGCAGTGCGAAGGCCAGCGCGCCGCGACCATGATTGCCACGCCCTTCGTCCTCACGAGCATCTGTAGCCG